CAAGCTCGATGCTCTAGCTAATGATGGCGAGTCAGACCACCAAGGAGCACATGACATGAGGCTGAGCAATCTCGAGTAATACACTGTAGCTTTTGAGTTGGTCATGGGTGTGAAACGTTTGTTAGGCTGTGTTTTGTTTTGGAAATTCCACCAATCTCTACAAGGTGCAACAAGGCTCATCTGGACATATTTGTTCCGTTTGACAGACTTAGCACGTTACGTAAAATCCTATCATTTCCCGTCAAAAGCTTGTGCAGACTATCTTGTCAAGCATGTCGCTCAGCACTGTAAACGGGAGAACATATACATCGCCTCCTCTTCTATTGCTGCTGTTGCCACTGTTCCTGCTGTTGCAACTACAAAACCAATGAAAGGAAGGCTGGAAGGAAGGCTGGAAATGAAGTACCTGGACACTCTACTATCGTTGGCTATTGTTAAAAATATCCATCGGCACTCAGCCGAAGGCCGGAGATTGGCAACCACTGGGCTACCATCCAGCAGTAAAAAGTGGGGCCATATAATCATATGGATATTAAATATGATGGTAGGTATACAACAGAGAGAAACACGCAACACATTTTAAATATCGATCATAGGAAATACGAGAGGGTTCGGAGGAAAATAGGACCGAAAGAACTCCAGCACCCACCCCAGAGCATTACAAATCAAGGACCTTACGCAGGATAGCTGCCGAGCTAGGGAGATTATTCTTTTTGCAATTCACGCGAAATTACCGTGCGCACGATGCAGAGCTCAATTTGTGCGATATCAAAATTGTTTCTGATCAACCACATCGAGCAGAACTGGATCCTACTCACAAGCTGGATGGTTGGGCTGACAGCATGACTGGACAAATGATCCCTGGCTTCACCAGATGCCAAAAGTCGGAAACAATGTCCTTTTCCGTAACGTCCATCTCCAAAAAGAACTCCATCTTCGTCTCAAAAGGCTTGAAATACTCCAAATTCAACCGAGCTTGTCCGTCTCACGCTTTCTCAGATCGAACCATTTTTTTCTTATCAGTTGCAGGGCAGATCCCGCCACTACTTCAACAGGGTATCGCTCCAAAGCATGCCTGGAACCAGCCATATCGAGGTTGTTACACTCTGGTACTGAATCTCACTGTTGGGAACAAACAGATACTGTGAAGAAACGAGGAATATCTCTGAACTACGAAAACTGTGATAACGCAAGGAAAAGTCTGAACTGCGAAAACAACAATTACAAACAGCACGAGCAAACTCTAGCCTGACTCTAACTCTCGTAGGTCTAACTCTACATCTAACATGTAAAGCACGGACTACGTATAGAATAAACACCGATGTCGTAGTGTTATGGGTTTATATTCCCATAAACACAAGACAGAGGTGTTTATTCTGTTTATACCTAGCTTCGTTTTTGGCCTGAAATACTGGTCCGAAATAGCTTTTTTAGTGTCCCAGTATACTATACACTGGTCCCTCTATAATCCGGCACCATTTGTGCCACGGAAAATCTGCAGGATTAAGGAGGGTGCTGGATTAAAAAATCGGATTTACTGCTGCAATGTGCATGAAGAGGACATTTTGGCTACTGAAAATTGTGCTGGTTTACCAAGGGTGCTGATTTATAAAGTGCCGGATTAGAGAAGGACGACTGTAGTGTACTATTGTGTGTAGGCAGCATTGCGTGTTACAGACCTAAGACACATTTTCAAACCAACGTCTGCATCAACACCCTGGTGGCTGGGTGGTCAAGATAGGTGCTTGAGAATCTTATGGTTGCAGAATTGATTCCTGCTCAAACTTTGTGCGAGATTTACGAATGTGCGAGATTTACGATTGTCAGTTGTCATGTTGTCAAGGAGGGAGTGTGCAAGATTTATGAGTGTGTTGTTACGATACAGTGTTTGTTGTGCGCGTTTGTCAGATACGTCGATATAATCAGTTGCATAGATAATACTTACGTTGTTGTTTGCATTGTCGCTCTCCACAGCAACTCCACTGCGTGCTGCGTTCTATATATTCCTATTCTGTACACTGACTCTCTCTGACAGGGTTTGCTGTCACCCTGGCTCTGAGCGGAAGCACCCTCTGACAGACCAAACCGATTCGCTTCATCTCCACAATATTTATCTCCTTTCGATTTGAATTTCTGTTTGTTCTGCACTCTGACTTTTCCTCGTTGCACCTGTGCTTTTGGACGCGGAACTTACTTTGCTGTCGCCATTATTTATATATCCATGGTTATGTTGTTGTATGACTCATCAATGCATCATGCATGATCATCATTATTCTGCTTTTCTACTCTTTCTGAGTCTTTGATCTTCATGCACGCACACTGATGTACACGTAAGCCAATGCACGCACGCAGCCACGCACACTGATGTAAACGTAAGCTAATGCACGCACGCGGGCACATTTTGCTGATGACAGCGATTTCGCGATCGTTGTTGTTGTTTCTGGTTGATTTGAGAGTATGGTTGAAACCGATAAGTAAATACAGTCTTCTAGAGTAATTGAGTTGTCTCCACGAAAAGGCCAGGATATCGCGCTACAACAGGGGTCTGAAGACCGCGTAGTTTTTAGCTGTGGTCGACAATTTCACAAATTTCTTTCTTCTCTTCAATTTTTTTTCTTTTTCAATTGGGGAAAAAATTTCTCTGTCCCTTGAAAATTGAAAAGTTACAACCTCTAAGTGGGTATTTGCCAGGCACGGACGGTCCCACATTCAAAATGCACTGTGACTAGCGACTACCTGCTGAACGCGACCAGCGACCGCCTTTTCTCGCCCCAAAGACGATTTTTGACCCGTAACTAGCGACGGCGATGTAGGAAATCAAAATGTTGCTTCTTCTTGAAATTTTGCTGATTTTCCATGGTCCTGAAAGGAATCTTTCAATACTACATCTGAACAAATGAATGCAGGTCATTTTGACTGTGGAGTCGGTGTGGACTGCACTACAGTCCATTCATTGGAAACTGGCACCCTAACGTTTTGGTGTGTCTCTCACATAGTTGTAGATATCGTGAAAACAACAGTACATCCTGCATTGTGTGAACCGTGCAATTACTCCTTGCCACATTTGAAGCCAGAAAAGTCCAAGAACAGGGAAATAGAAATTCAGCCAGGTTTTACAAAATGAGGACAGGTATGCCATGGCAAAATGTATGGAGAAGCAGATCCAAAACCCACATTTTTGAGATTTAAAGTGGGTTTTTGATCCTCAATTCGGCCCATATCCGACTTTCAAAAGCCAGCGGGCCAGTTTCCGATGAATGGACTGTACACCTGTCAAAATTTCAAGCACTGTCAAGAATAAACATGATCGGAAACGTCTTGAAGAGCGCATCGAAAGCGCTCTTTGATCGATGTTACTAGTAGGAGGAGAGGCGAAGACTTAGCGGCTCTGTCCCCAAAGTAATACAGACGAATCGAAGATGGAATCAAGGAATATAGAAACAAAGCAGCACCTCAAGGTCCTGATGCTGAAGGATCGCCTTCAAGCAATCGAGAAGTCACAACAAGGACAGTCGGTACGACTGATCGCATGAACAAATAATTTGAAGCCCAGCGCAAAACAAACTTACACAGGGAATGCTTCACTCCTGGCTTCAGAAGTAGCAGCACCAAGGTTCAACTCGAGTTCAACTCAAATGACAGGACTGCACCCAAAACTGCACCCAAAAAAGGTCAAACAGGCTAGTAAGTTGTATGCAGGAGCACGTGACCGCTTGTTCGACCATGTTCGATTGGGAATAAAGGAGGAACGCTGCATCGCAGCCTTTTCGGACCAAAACCAGTCGACTGAGCGTCCAAAAGACTACAACATATGGGCCAATCGCGGTCATCCGTGCTTCTAAAAGAACGACATGGCCCTTTTAGTGACATTTTGCATACAAATCCCCGTCTAGTAGGGCGCAGTCACCCAGTTTCGGTGGAAGTGCGTGAGTTCGATTGGGAAAAAAAGGACGGGAGCGTCTCAGCTTCGTCGGACCAAGACCGTTTGACTCAGCACCTCGAAGTCTACAACGGGTGAAAATTTGATGTTAGACTTAACTTCCCCTTTAAAATTAAAATTGAGAGAGAGAGAGAGAGAGAGAGAGAGAGAGAGAGAAAGAGAGAGAGAGAGACAGAGAGAGACAGAGACAGAGACACAGAGAGAGAGAGAGAGAGAGAGAGAGAGAGAGAGAGAGAGAGAGAGAGAGAGAGAGAGAGAGAGAGAGAGAGAGAGAGAGAGAGAGAGAGAGAGAGAGAGAGAGAGAGAGAGAGAGAGAGAGAGAGAGAGAGAGAGAGAGAGAGAGAGAGAGACAGAGAGACAGAGACACACAGAGAGAGAGAGAGAGAGAGAGAGAGAGAGAGAGAGAGAGAGAGAGAGAGAGAGAGAGAGAGAGAGAGAGAGAGAGAGAGAGAGAGAGAGAGCGAAATAGCAGCAGTGAAAAGTAGTGAAAAAGTCACGAAGTTTTTGTTTCCAGAGGAAGTACGTTCTGCGTTCTTTCCCATACTGCATCGCGCCAGTGTGGAATAGATTTCTGGGAGATTGAAGTTTTCCTGTGATACTATAGGAACGAAGTGGGGCTTTCAGTGGAAATTTCCACCCAAATCCATGTCTAGTAGGGCACACTAATCCAGTTTTGGGGAAGTGTGCGACTTCGATTGAGTTACATGTATTAGACAATGGGGGCATCTCAGCCCCCTTAGTCCTTGCAGTTAACATTGATTTGAATTTCCTGGGATAAGAGTAAAAGGGCGTCACAGCCGGGGCGGCTGAGACGGCCGAGGTCTTCCCACTTTTGTGGTCAATTTTTAGCACACTGTAACAAAGCGCGACAATCGCAGCTCAGCACTAACTTGGCAAATAATAATGAAGAATCTGTGTCCGTGATCATGGCGTCTTCTTGGTTTGTTGCAGAATTAAAAAGTCCTCCATTGTAGTTACACTAAAATGGCACCAAACGCCCAGAAATGCTTGCAATTGGCTTCATTTTTTATTTTTTTCCCTTTGTTTCATGTTTGACTAGTGCAATGTGCAAATCCTTGTGGAAATAGTCATGATGAGGAGGAGTTGTGCATTCCATCAGCCACTGCACCTATTCCCTGGAAATCAAAGTGCATTTCGGGAGGGTATTCCAGTAAGTACATATGCCAAGAGTGTACTTCTTTATTCTGTGCATGTTTAGGCTGCGGTCACGCATGCATTTGTTTCGCGACACATCGAAGAGAAGTTTGAATTTTGCTACGCCAAAAATGCCAGCAGAAACTCCATTCTGCGGATCCGGTTTTGAGAAACCTGCATGTTGATGGCTCTTGTGTGCCACACCTGGAGTTGTTTGGTATTAATTCAGCTTGTTCTTCATTAGCAATGTACGATACATTCTGGAAATCTCGCAAATGACTGCATAAGTGACAAAATGACGGCATACATGACAAAATGACTGAATCGCCATTAGTGGGTAGTCTATGAGGAAGTCCGTCACCCAAAGCCCCGATCGCGGACCAGGAGCAACGATGTTTCTCTCTCCATCAATACGTCCACCAGAGTGCACCACTAGGACCGGGGAGTAGTAGAGTACTCTGCCACGCTCTCATTGCAACTACAGGCATCCACGCTGGGGTCGATGATGGAGAAGGCAACAAAACCCTGCTACACATCCGTTTGATATTAATGTTAAATATACTAAAATTGAACTACACCCGTTGTGGACACCCATACTGGACGGTAGTGAATGTGCTCATATTCGTGAGGGTGCTTGACAGGAGACATTCAGTTCCAAGAAGCAGAAGCCTGCCGGCAATCACAATCCACCATACAGTAGTTCTACAAGCGAAGGTCGGTTCAACTCAGGCATAAACTACAAAAATTTCAAAGGACATGCACGCAAATTTTTATTCCCTCTACCAACGCGGAGCGTTGAGAAACACAGTGATATGTGAATGCTGCATCATGCGTTGTGCAAAAGCGGCTGCGATAATTATGCTTTTCGCCTCCGCAAAAAGCAGTGTAAACTTGTCATGTGTGACTGCGGCCCCACCGACAATGCTACACTTCTAGACGATACTAATAAGTGGAGATTTTTCTGGCCTAGTGTATGCGTTCATATGGTCTTACCTATAATATGGTCAATTCAGAAATTATGGAGCTTTAATAGACCATCATCAAATCTGACTTTTGTGTCTCGGATTCCAAAATTGACACAAATGGGTTTTGGACCAGAAACATTTGTTCCAGTGCAAAATGAAACAAAAACAAACATAAAAAGAACAGAATGGTCCTGCTTTCTTTACTATAAATTAAAAGAACATGTTTCCTTTCCTTTGTGTCTGCCTAGATGAAAAGCCCGAACCAGGAGGTAAGGATGCACATATTATAATACTATGTTGGTTTGTTTGTCTTGGAGTCTTTACTGTATAGTGCCAGATCATATCAATGTTGAACTCTCCACCTTCATTCATTGAGGTCAACAGTGTTACCAAGTGCCCTCTACCCCCATCCGTATTGCCCAGTGCCATTTAACATTCTACTTGGTCCGGCTCATCGCAATTGTCGCTTGTCCCCCACGCACTTTTTGACAGGTAAAACCCAGTCCAATCACGATAATTATCTAACTTACTTTTTCTTGGGAAGTCGTGATGGCAAGATCAAAGTAGGCACCAAAGAAAAAATGATCGCGACTAGCGCTTTGAATCGCGATGTATTCAACTTTTTTGGGAAGTGGGAATCTGGCCATTCACTGTCTGTGTTGCCAAAAAGCCAAGCGCAGCGACCCGAAGACCGGAACTGTAGCAGGTGCAACTGACATCCTGGCCTGGAGAGCGTGACAGGCACGAGTGCACGGCAGAAGAGTATGAGCATCATGCTGAAGAAGAAAGATGTTTTTGATGCGATGTGCCCGGCCGACCTGTTGGTTGTTCCTTCTCTTGGTGGACCTAGCAGCCGCATTACAAGAGTCGTGGCCAGCCTATCCAGGGAGCGTATGACACCTGTCTGGAGAGGCCTGTGTGCCTCATTTGAAGGCTTTGTTGAAACACACTTTGGTGACACACAGGTCACACTGCCTACGGTTCCTTCAAGCACCGAAGTGACAGCCACAACTGTTCCTTTCCCATTGCTGCCATATGACAGGCTGAGAACGCAAGAGATACTCTACCAGTCTACGCCAGCAGCTAGACACCAGCAAATGTCAGCTCATGTAACGACTCGCTCGAGAGATGCAGAGTTGAGTGAACTTTGGACCTGTATTACTAGTGTGAGTGCAAGAACGCGTTCCTTTGCTGATTTATTTCGTGCATTTTGCTTACCTTGCTTCCTTTCTTCGACTCGTTTCACCTGATTCCATTGCTGAAATTTTTTTCTTGTGGCGGAGAGTATTCATGTATCATGCTTCCTCACCATGTCTGTTTGAAACTTCACAGAGCGGTAAAAAAAACTCCTGTTCTTAGTGGCGAAAGAAAAGCGACAATTGCGATGAGCTGGACCAAGTACTCCCCATGCTAGAGTATAGAGTAGACACACACGCGTGCAGGACACGACACACCAAAAGACACAAGAGTGAGTTTGGAAGAATGGGAATGTCGGGCAGAGTAGCTGGCCTCAATTGAGTGCGCGTTAACGAATCGTGTGGTCGGCCTACCGAGGGCAGGAGCTGTATATGACCAAGTGGGTCGGCCTGCGCGGAGCAGGAGCGGTTTGTGACCCATGCGAGTTGGTGTGTCGGCCTGCGTTGAGCAGGAGCGGTTTATGACCCATGCGAGTTTAATAGTAGTGCGCGAGAGGCCAGTTACGGAGGAGTGCCCATGCCGACATTCCCATTAGGGCCAGAGAAGATAGCGGGTGATAACAACCATTATACTGAGCTTGTATACAAACTCCCATCTCTCCCCACACAACACTCCAGACTTGTATTTTGCATATAACAGGTACTTCGATGAGGAGAATATAAACTGGTATATAAACTGGTGTATAAACTGGTGTATAAACTGGTATATAAACTCCTTTTTTTTTAGGATCACACTAGTGACCTGCAGTCCGCCTTGATGGTTTTTCGACATGCACGACGGTCCCAACTTCAGGATCTCTTTCCCGTCAACGATGAAGAATACAACGTCGTCCTTTGTAACAGGTGCCTTGTGCTGCACCTGACGTTCGAGGCTGTCCTTCTTTCGCTGTTTCAGCACTCCGTCTGTCAAGCGCAGCACTCGACATGTGCGGCTGAAGAGCCCCGCGTGCCGCTCCTCCTGCGTTTTTGCATCGACATAGAATGCAGATAGCAGGGGCGACGGAACTTCACTACTGATGGTTTTCCAATCGATGTTCTCCTTTCCGCGTCCCTCGCAGAGCGGACGGAACATGCGCAGCCATAATCCGTGGCACTGCCAGTGTTCTTGGAAACTGCTGCTTGAATAATGGCATCGTGATTCGTGGTCGTCCTCAGGAGAACTAAAGAAACGTTTGGGAGTCGATTCAACAGGCTCGTGCTGATTCATTTTACTCTTACTTCCTCCGTTAACAAAAACTTCGTGATGGAATTTTGAGGGGCTGATTTGGGCAAAAACTGCCCTGAAATGAGTCACAATCACTTTATTGGCCTTCCCTGGCATGCCATGACAGAGGTACGATGCAAGGAAAGCGACCTTTCACAACAAGCCGAGCGGAATCGATGGTTGCGCTGTGGAAACATAGGTGATGACAGTCATGGCGAGCGAAACTGAAATGCCACTTCTCCGAGGGGATATTGCGCTGCTTGGCCTCTCTACCACTTTGGCACTGAGTACGTCGGAGAGTGATAGAGAGCGATAAAACGGAGCAGCGAGCCCACACAATGAGCGAGTGAACAAGGAGCTGCTCCGATCGCACGGCTCAATGAAAACAATTCTGAACTGAAGTAACACGTTGGTTCTCGTTCAACCTGGGCAAAGCCCAGATTCGAATGCTGATGACCATGCATTCTTTCAGAAGTCTGCAGTCAGATGCGAGTCTCGTGGCTAAAGAAAGTCGACTGGACTTGCTAGCCGCTGCCGTTCAGTGCTGGTATCCATTAGAGAAAATGGAATCAGTTCAGCTGTGCCTTTACTCCTCGTTTCGCGGAGTTCTGGAGAGCGAAGATGAAACCAGGGAGTTGTAGAATATTGTTCACGACTCCCTGGTGGAAACGAGTAATCGCCATCGCGGCGGATCACGCAGCTTGAAAGCAAACTTACTTGAACGGCGGCGACATCAAGCGGAGTGTGATCAAAGAAGCCGAGGCAAGGCTGAAACGAGCTGAACAACGACTCGAGCGAGATGACGACTCGCGTACAGCAGATGACGACTCGCATGCAGCAGATGACGACAGCGACGCAGGTCAAAAATGAATCGAGCGAAAGCGACGCAAACTGAACTCTCTGCTCATTCCGCCAACAGTTTCTCTTGTAAAAGCGCTGTACATAGGCTGAATCACCGTCGTCCAGTAATTTGCACTCGATACAAACTGTTCTTGACCTGTTCTAAGCGTTTTCATATCCATCAAAATCCATCACGAAGTTTTTGTTAACGGAGGAAGTACTTTGGAAAGGAGACGAACTCTATGTCTCTAACGAGCAAACGGTTCTTTTACAGAGCCCGCGGTGAGATCTGCTCGCGGTAACGGTCACTAGCACTGTGAGGTTCAAACTAACTTACTTGGCGCATAGCTGTTACTTCCGATGTAACTAGTAGTACTTCAGTACTAAACTGAAGTCACAAAGAGTGTGCGATGGTACTGCACTGCATGTACTGCACAGAGTCAGTGGTGGTCTTGTACTTGATCCGCACAGGTTGGTGAAAGGAAGACTCGTCGAGCCATGGTTTTGGGTTGGAATTCCAATCTCTACCCTTGTGGGGGAGAGGGGAGTTTGTATATCAACTCAGTATAAGCATAATATAACCTACTCAGTTGATTATATGGGAAATATATACCAATATACAAACCTCGGCTTCGCCTCGGTTTGTATACAGGTTTATATTTCCCATATAATCAACTGGTTAGGTTATATTATATACATATAGATGGTACGTATTACTGGTCAAACGAATGCTGAGAAGCTTCGAACGTTCGTTCTCGAGTCGACATTCAAATGTCAAGTTGACTGCCCAAACGAATATCGTAACTCACCAAACTGTGAACTCTGCACTCGTAGCAGCGATTTTCATGCATGCAAGCATGTACACACGTCTACTTTTGAAGCCGTGCCGCGCTGTCTTCAAGAGATGACCGTGTCATGTACATATGTATACATGCCATGTCATGTAACTAGTACTAGTAGCTGGTGCGAGGTGTGAAAGTAAGTAACGATAGTTGTACAATCATGTAGATCTACAAGGCCGGATGTTTGTGGTCCGATCACGAACTGGCCCAGACTCGAGTCGGTGCGCGCGTGAACCATGTGAACTGTGTTGTGGACTGGGTGGACTGCGTGCACTGCACTGGTGCTCAACTGATTACTTCCTCAAGATCGTACAGTAGTTCTAGTCTGAGCAGTGAAGTCTAGTCTGGGTTGAACGTTGCATGCGCATGCAGTGCATCGTGCCCGGCTTTGAAACTGGAAGTGCAGTGCCACAGGCGATTTTTGTCGTGACAACACTCGACGGTCTGTCTGAAATAATTATTATTGCTGAGAGCCGTCGTCGAGTCTTTCTTCATCAAATCCACCCAGCGTTCGTCATGGCCGAGAAGAGTAGGCGCTCTGCCGTATGAGATTTCGGAATAGAGAAAACCGCTGACAATATTATCTTTATTCTCAGGACAATATTGCTACGTGTACTCGGTGCAAGCCGCCGAAAGACTTGGCATACCATGGCGGAACAACGAATTTACGTAAGCATCTGAAGGACGTTCACCATGTCGACTTGGATGGCGCAGGGGCGAAACCGAAAAACGGACGGAGGAATAACTGCCTTCTTCAAGGCAAAGAAAGTGCCAGCGGCTAGATCCTCTGGAGCGACTACCAATTGGTGGAATTTGTGTGCAGAGATTTTCGACCTGTGAGCGTAGTCACTGGTGCGGGGGTTCCTTTCGCTCGACTTGCAGTGTGCAATTTCGCTTATGATTTGGGTGCCTTTTAGTGTTACATACTGGTCGGTAGCTATAATTTCTTACTGATTTCTTAATCATGGAACGGGCCCAGGAGTGAGGCGAGTTCGCGTTTGCGAACGCAACCAGATATAGCAGCAGAATGGCCTATCCTGAAACCGTGACACAACCCATGCAACACAAAGTGAGAGGAGTGATCAGAATGACGGTTAAGGAGCCCGGCTAATCGGCTAACATTGATGGGGATCTCCACAGAATGTTTACGGAGCAGACGCTGAGGTGGCGGACTGTCCCCTGGCATA